CAAAGGCACGACATCTTGACCCCCCCACTGCCCCCATCACCAATCCTCCCTTTGCTAACTTTTCTTTTCCCAGCTCCGCTCCAAGACGACACGCCAGATACACAACCCCCGTTCCCCCCCTTCACCCTCGCCGTCAAGGACAACATCGCCACGCAGTCCCTCCCCACGACATGCGCCTCCTCCTTCCTCAACGCCTACCACAGCCCCTTCGAGGCGACCATCGTCACCCAGCTGCGCTCGCGGGGCGCCTGCCTCGTCGGCAAGACCAACCTGGACGAGTTCGGCATGGGCAGCCACTCGACGCACTCGGCCTTCGGCGCCGTGTCGCAGACCCTCCCCAACGAGGGGGGTGAGGAGTACTCGGCCGGCGGGAGCTCGGGCGGCAGTGCGGTCGCCGTCGCTGCCGGCGAGGCCGATGTCGCGCTGGGCACTGATACCGGTGGATCGGTGCGCCTGCCCGCGGCGTATACCGGGGTCGTGGGGTTCAAGCCGTCGTATGGGATGCTGTCGCGGCACGGCGTGGTGCCGTATGCGAACTCGCTAGATACGGTGGGGTTGTTGGCGCGGGGGGTCAAGGAGATTCGGGAGCTGGTTGTGGGCGGCGGGTTGTGGTTGGAGCATGACCCGAGGGATCCGACGAGCTTGTCGGAGGCGGCGAGGGCGAGGTGTGCGAGTGTAAGGAAGGGGTATGCCGGGGTGGACGGGGGAAAGCCGGAGGAGGTGCTAAGGGGGCTGAAGTTCGGCATTCCGTTGGAGTATAACGTCGAGGAACTCGATCCCCGGATCCGCGATGCATGGGCCGCCGCGGCAGCAGCCCTCCAGAAGCTCGGGGCCCGAATCGTTCCTGTTTCTCTGCCTACGACCCGCCACGCCCTCTCCGCGTACTACATCATCGCCCCTGCCGAGGCCTCCTCTAACCTGGCCAAGTACGACGGCGTCCGTTACGGCTCGCGGGCCAGTGACACCGACGCGGGATCGAGCGACGCAGCCGACGGCGGCGTACTCTACGCCGCCAGTCGTGGCCGCAGCTTTGGCAGCGAAGTCCAGCGCCGCATCCTCCTTGGCGCATACACGCTCAGCTCCGAAGCCATGGACAACTATTTTATCAAAGCGCAAAAGATCCGGCGCCTCGTCCGGCGCGACTTCGACCGCGCCTTTGCGCTTGCCAACCCCCTGCAGGGCGAGCCTGAGCCGTTCGACCTCAGTGACCTGTCCGAGGATATCCTGATGGAGAACAAGCTCGGGCCAGTCGGTGTCGACTTCCTGCTGTGTCCCACGGCGCCGACCCTCGCGCCTAAGCTGGAGGACGTCGTCGGGGCGGAGGGGCAGAGCCCTGTAAATGCATATGTGAATGATGTGTTTACTGTGCCAGCGAGCCTCGCTGGACTACCGGCTGTGAGTATCCCAGTGCGAGTTGCTGCCGAGGGCGGTCATAAAGACGTGGCGAACACGGCTGGGCTGCAGTTGATCGGGCAATACTGGGACGATGCACGGCTACTTGCTGCTGCCGGCGCTGTGATGGAGGTTTTGGGAGGCAGTAGCAGGTAGAGGTCGAATCAACATACAATGCACATTTGGACATTACTCAGGGGTAGTAATGGTGTCTGATGGTTGAGCCAGATTCGGTTGCTTCCCACGGCGCTTAGCCAGGCGGCTTGCAATACCATCGGTCAGTAAGCTGGTTCTCTGCCCAAAGCCACGTTCTGGGAGTACCATTCTATTCCCTTGTTGTCAAGTTCATGTCAACCTAAACAACATTCGTCGATTCGTCCGGCATCTCTATAAGTGCTTCTACACCAAACACCACACTACCGGTTTTCTCTCTTATCCACCCCCCTGTAACTTCCGCATCCTCTCCTCCGCCGCCCTTGCCCTCCGCTCTCGATCCAACCGCATCCTCTGCTCAGGCGTCAAGCCTCTGGCCTCCTCTTCTCTCTTTTCCTGCGCCGACCTCGGCACGCCACCCCCCAAGATCCCACCCGCAGCCCCCGCCCTCGCTGTGCTCGTCTTCACCTTCGGCCCTTCCCTCTTCAGCTTCTCCTCTTCTACTCTCCACCTCTCCTTCTCCTCTTTCTCCTTCTCCTTCCTCTCCCGCTCTGCCCGCTTCTCCGCCTCCTCGCGCTTCAGCGCGGGCGGTACCGCCGCCTCCTCCCAGTCCCACGCCGCTTCGCCTAGCTCGGCGCGTGCCACCCGAAAGGCGTCACGCGTAGCACGGTCACCGGCAATCTCGAACGGTGTCTTGGCTTCGTCATTGCGAAGCGTCGGGTCGGCGCCCCCGCGGGCGAGGAGACCCGCGACGAGCGGAGCCGAGTTCTGGGCTGCGGCGAGGTGGAGCGCCGTGGGTGCGTGGTGGTTCTGCTGCGAGTCTGACGGGTAGAAACGGAAGGTGTTAGGGTCTAGACTCGAGGTTTTGAGGTAGGCGAGGAGGGCGGGTAGTTTGGAACGGCGGATGAGGGCTTGAATTTGGGTGGTGTGGTGGAGGGCGGTCTCTTCCTCCTCCGATAGTTTGGGCACACCTGGTTTCACGGGAGCTTTTTGTTTGGTGGTGGTATCTTCTGTGGCGATGGGAAGGGGTACGGCGACAGTAAGTTCCTTCACCTTGAGTCGTGTCAGTTCGATGAAGGAACGCATGAGCTCGTTTTGTGTCGCTCTGCGTGTGCTGAACGGGAAACCTCGCATACGAGGATCGTTTCCGCGCATGACTTGGCCATCGTAGGGGCCAAACAGAGTGCGTCTGTTTGTTGTTCCTGTCGCACGGATGAAGAGGAGATCAGACGTGTCGATGAGAGCTTTCCAGTCCCTTAGAAGTTCGCGGACGTCTTCGACGAGTGCCTGTTCGTTGTAGCGGCGAAGGGAAGAGCCGGCAGAATGTGCCGTTCCCTTCGCGTTATCATTGGCAGACTGCGAACCACCTTGCTTCCGCCTGGTCGTGTATCGGTGGAAGGTTTTGTGAGCTAGGACAATGGCTTCCCTGTTCATGGGGCCCGTTGAGGCGTGTTTGCTCTGTTTGGGAGCGAGGGAGACGACCATGGCGGCGAAATGACCGCCTCCGATCATGCAAAGAAAAATATGGCGACCGTTATACGCTGGGGGCACAGAGCTCACGTCTTTTGGGGGCTTTGGCATCAATATGGGGGCTAGCTGCCTCTGCTTGATGGCCTCAACGATAACATCCTCTCTTGCTAGCTCCTCGGGCGTAAAAATCGCCCGGTAGACGCCATAATATGTCTTGTCCGGTAAGGTAGGCGAGCTGAACCAAAGCAGGGGGGGTTTCCCCGTCCCCCGTGGGTTTTTCGAGCTTTTCTCGCCTGCTTCATTGCCGGGATTACGTTGCCTGTCGGCCAGAGTGGCCTGCTTTTTCAGCAGGGCAGAAAGGGTCGTGTCCTTGCGCGAAGTGCCGTCCCCCTCTTCATCTTCGCTACCGGATGTGTCAGACCCCGAGAGACTTTCATCCAAGTCTCCAACAAGCTTCTCGAATTGGCTTTCGGTCACGGGGTTGAGGTCATTGAGCTTTTGCTTGAGGTTGTAATGGTGGAGATCGGTCTTAAGATGGTCTCGCTGCTCTTGAACAGTAACAAACGTCAAGCTACAGAGGGAGCACGCTTGCGAGCCAACGAAGCTGCTATCAGGGGTGGCGGGGCCTGGGCTTTGCAACTGAGTAGGTGTCGTTTCTGGCGACAGCTGCTCAGACAGCTGCTCAGGCGACCCCGCGTCCGCCTTGAGAGATAGCGAGTTGAGAACCTCGGCTGGGAGGTCGTAGAGGTAAAGCGGGCGCCGCACCGCCTCCTCCGGTTTTTCTTGCTTCTCCTGTTTCTTCTCCATGACGAAATGCGATACGCGGCGCCTGCTGGGTTGACGGTATAAGATGACTTTGTGAGTGCTGTAAGATCCCACATACGGGAGGGGCTGTTGATGGCGGGGCAGCTTTTATCAAGAAGCTTCTCCGATAAGAGTCACACCGAGCTTCAGTACCGAACCCTAACCCTTCCTCCTGTCATTGGGGATCACTTTGAGCTCAATCTTAACACGGCTCTTGAGAAATCTTGATGGGCTTCGAGAACAGGACGTGCTAGTTGGTCTTCTTTCTTTTATGTTATATAATGGCAGATTAGAGCTATATTTGGGCCGCGGTAATTGCAATTGGGGGTGCTCCAACAGCAACTCCCTGACCTCACCATGTTGTCTCAGTTCTTTGTGCCTGGGAAACATATTTGATCTGATCACCTTAGTATGCTTGACTTAACTCGGCACCAACCTCCATGCCAATAGGCAGTAGCCAAGCTGCCGGTAGTCATTTCCGTCAGAAGTTTATTTACTGCCTACAAGCAATCGTTGGAACCTACAGTGGGACGATGAACTGAATGGTATTCCTGCTAAACCTTCTTGGTGGCTTCTCGATACTTCAAGATTTAGGGCTGCTGCTAGGCTTCCCAATGGCAATTCCTTTCTTCGGCTGTGCCCCATGGGTATCTACATCATGCCCGTCTCCGAGCATATGTCGATGGACCGAGGTGACTGGATTGATTTCAATGCTAAAAGCTATCAAGTGGGGATGATCCGGCAAGTACCCGTGTGCCGAACACATTGCTCTCTATTAAGGCATATTGTTGGCAGAAAGAATCAGACAGAAAGTGAAGGAACTGAGAATCGTTGAGATACAACTCTAAACAAGTCAATGCGTAGCTTCCTTGTTCCAATACCTTGCTCCAATAGATTGGCGGCGGGAGGCAACGGAAACGGTGGAGTACCCACCATTGACAAGAAGTGAAGGCACCACCAGCCTCACCCACTTGGCCAAAGATGGGGCGGAAGCCACGAGGAGGGCGGGAAGTATGGTGCCAACGGCATGAGCAGGAGAGGCAAGAAGTATGGGGCGTCCTGGCGAAAGCACTTGCCCGCACTTGCCTATCGTTTGAGGGTTAAGGGTGCAAATTATTCCTTGACTTCTCAACAAAGAGACACACTGCCTGATCCCCCATGGTGTAACGGCAGTGCGTACGGCCCTCGTGGAGAAATGGTAACTCGTCAGACTCCTAATCGGGAGATCCATCTGGATATTGCGGTAAGTACCCTTTCTCCTTTGTCCTTCACAAACAGACAGCTAATGCTCATAAGGGTTCGAGTCCCGTCGGGGGTGCAATGGAATTTTTTTTGGCACCATTTGCACATTGCATTTTGTCCAGCACACCTTGACCATTCAAACAAGCAATGGGTGTATGGCTCCAAAGAGAAATTACCAAAATGAAGTTTACCGGACCGGCAGCACCGGGACTGATTGTTTGTTGATCACAGCATCGCTCATGTCTCACAGCGAAAGGGAAACAAAGATATGTCCACCTACAGTCTTTTCACCACAGCTACCTAGGCAGGCACTAGGTGAAACTGCTACATTAACTGGGCCTGTACGTATTGTCATTGATACCAAGTATTCATCACTGCAAAGAAAAATATGAGCCACCTTGACTTTATTGAAGATGGCCATCCACATGTAATACAACATCGTACCACCCACCTCGTCCCATATACACAATATCCAACCCAGCCCCATTTTATAGCTCCTTCTTCTCCACTCTCAGACTCTTCGGCTCACTAGCTACCGCAGACGCCGCAGGCGTCTTGAGCCCGAAAAATACCAATAAACTCACTCCCGCAATGCCCGTCGCGCCCATGCCGTACGCCACCTCGCGTCCAGCCCACCAGTATACACTGGTAAACAATACAGGGCCAAGTCCTCTTCCGAGCTGACCCCAGCTCCGCAGCATGCCCAGCTTCCCGCCGCGCTCGCCCTCGTTGGCTTCGAAGCTGCTCAGGGCGTTTAAGCCCGTAACGACAGTTGCTGACGTTGTAGCTAAACAGGTTGCAGCCAGATAAAGGGCCGGCACTGTCGAGATCTGGCCGAGCAGACCAAAGGCGATGAGACACGCAACAACGCCGATGCGGACCGAGAGCAATGGAGGCAGCCGGCGCGTCACGCCGCCCTGTAGCAGCGAAGCGACCAAACCTACATACCCGAGCAGACGTCCATTGTTGGCAGAGCGGTACCCGAACAAGTCGTACGTCATGAATGGCAGTGAGAATTCCATGCCCGAAAAGAAGAGCAGGAAGGTCATGTGAACAAGGTTAAGGAGGAAGTGTGAGTTGGTCCGCTGGACAGGCGCGGCCGGTGTCTCGACCGGTGTCTTAGCGGTAGTGGTGCCGGGAGCGGTCTTTTCCCTCGTCAACGATGGAAGTGTTTCGGGCAGGTTGAAGTACAGGTACACAGTCTCGGTGACGATGAGAAAAAGAGAGACGCCGGCGGCTGTGGCAAACGGGTTGGCGGCCACGCTGCTGATGGTGCTGAGCCAGGCGCCCAGCGCCGGCCCAAAGGTGAAGGAGATGGAGAAGCATGCGCCGATCAGAGCCATGGTCGAGCCGCGGCTGCTCGTGTCCGAGATGTCGGTCGCAATGGCGGTGGCGAGCTGCACGTTGCCCTCGGACAGGCCGCCGACGATGCGTGACGCCAGAAAGGTGCGGAAGTCGACGGCCACAACCCACAAGAGCACCGACAGGATGTTGCCTACCATGCTCGTGAGCAGCGCTGTGCGCCGGCCATACTTGTCCGAGAGGTGTCCGATGATGGGGGAAGCGATGGCTTGGAGGAGGCTGCGGAGGGTCGTTAGGTGAAGACAAGACAGATAGGGGGACAAGGAAGGAGAAGACGCACGAGAAAAGGCTCCCCAATGCACCACCTAGCAGTACAATATCATATCGTGAATCGATGGGGCGCGCAAAGGCCGCCTTGTATGTGTTGAGGTATCCTAAGAGATTGGAGAGCAGCGTCTTGGTAGGCGGGGCAGAGGCGTCGGTCGGTGCCTCGACGTTGCGGTAGAACTCGAGTAGCTGCGGGAACAGGGGGAGGATGAAGGTGAAGGAGATCTGCGACAGGCCCGTCAGTCAAAGTTCAGAGACCCCACGAACGGTCGCAAGCGGGCTTATTGGAAGCGCATACCAAATCTAACAGCAGAGAGACGAAGATGACCTTCAAGACCCGTTTGCGGGTTGCGGCATCGACTGGTGCCATCCCTGTGACTTGGCCGGAGGGGCACTGGTGGTGATGCCCTGGCGCGAAGTGGGAGGGAGGAAGCGAAGCTCTCGCTCGAAATCCTGACGAGGCAACCTGAACTCAGCAACCACTGGGCAAAGAAAAGAAAATGAACCTCTAATCTCTCTCGCGGGCCCGCACGTGTAGAGAACACACAGAGATATCAACACCAGAAGGCAAAATGACAACTAAGGGAATAGAGAAGCAAAACGGGAAGACGGGGCATTAGCAGCGTTACAGCATCGATTCGAGCCGTCGGACAACGTGTTGACACTGCCACCGGCAAGGGCCGAGGGTCCCGGCAATGGAGCCCAAAGTTGGGGTAATTGAGCCACGCCGGCCCGTTGGAGCCTGGTCCAATGTCAAGCCACATCATCCACCTTCTGGGTTTGGGCTGCCAGTCCAGGAGCCGAGCACACTGACGAACACGAACGATGCTCTGGGCATTTTTGGCGGTCCAGGCTCTTCCCTCCACAACTCCCACTCCTCCCAAGCTAGTTACCTTCACGGCGATGGTGCCAGCAACAGCGAAGAACAATCTTCAGCAGGTCGATGACAAGCTCATCTCGTGTCCTTCGCGCCTACAACCAGAAGGGCAGCCATGTCGACATGATTGACCAAAATGATTTCGACGAGAGGCCAATTGCTGAGTTTAGACGTCGAGTTTCGCTGGGGAAGCTCATTCTTCCTCTGGCTCTCCCGTCTGTCCGGGCTCGGGCGTCGCACTGCAGGTGGGAGCGCCTGCACACCTTCATATATATTTCAAGCTACATCCCTTTGTATCTGAAATCGACCTATGCCTCCCGAGTCAGTTATTTTTGCGGCTTACCGCCTGCATAGTCGCGGCGGTGCCGGATGCTCCCAGGCACCACTACTCGAGTAACTGAGTCGCTCGCCTCAATTTGCCCTGACTTGGCGTCCTTCATCGGCACTTCTCTTGAAGCGGCTCGAGAAGCGATTCGAGGCAATCACTCAGTCCCCGCGAAATCACCATGACATTCCGTTCCATACATGGCAGCTATTCGCTCGAGTAAGACCCGGCTTGTTGAGACGATTCAGGCGCGCTGCTGGATGCCCCGTACACAGTTGTACGGCATTTGCCACCAACTCGGGGCTATCCTGATACAATTCATTTTGGGTCCCCAATTCAAGTCCTACGGAACCAGTCCAGGTTATTGGGAGGGTGTTAACCACGAGTCTGGAGAGGAACAGGACCTGTTGGTGATGCGGTGCAAGGTTATTGTCTACCTCCCTACGTCAACGCATGAATCCCCGCCGGCTGAGTGGCTAGGCCTGCATTACAACAATGTTATTCTCAATGCATATCAGAGGGCATATCGCTCCCTCGACGCCGGGTTTCTCGCATGACGATCTACGTAGTCTGTTCTCGAGTCGTTGAGATCACGTCTGTCGTGAGACTGCTGGTAAGCCGAGAGACAACTTGGGGTCCGAGGGGCTTGAAACATGCGGGCGGCAGGGGCGGCGACCTGTGCCAGGAGTGGACGCTATCTGAAGCCCACAGCCACCAATGCAGGAACATATCCAGACGCGCATGCGGGTGCGGTGCAGAGGTGACATCGCATCCCCCCAGAAACATCGAACCTCACGCAGGGAGCAGGGGGCGATCACCCGAAAAGCTTAACTGTTGTCGGCCGAGCCGGAGAAGCGCCTCGGGGCTGTGCTAGTGCGGAGCCGTCTTGCATCTTGTGCCCTGCACCGGGAACTCCTCCCTGCCATGTATGTCTCTTCGTGTGTGTGTCTCGCTTCCTGTTAGCGTAGGCCCGTCCACAACCTCTCGCCCGCCAAGTGTTAGGTATAGACGGTGTGTTATGGGACCACGATTGCAAGGCACACCTTCTCCTGCCACACCACCACATCACCACACCACTTCCACACCTTCCCTTTAGCCGCAAAGGCCATCCAGATCGGCGTACCTCGCCGCCAATGAGTTACTTGGTAGTACTCCTCTATTTTCGTCATTGCTTGGTCGGACATCGGCGCTGCCATGTAGCTGTGTAATTCTCCCCCTGAAGCCGGTATTTGCTGTATTAGCCCCCTCTATATAGTCGCGATGGAAATGTATTTTAAAGGGCCTCCCTCCCCTCCCTTCCATGTCCAGTCCACCCTCACCCTGTAGTGTCTTCCGATACCGTACATTCACTCTTATCACTCACAAGCCTGGAAAAGGGGACCGCACTTACACCAACTTGCCACGGATACCATAGCGAGAAAGATACCCGTCATATTCACAATGAAGAACTCCGCAGTCCCGCTCATCGCCTTTGCCGCCTTGGCGGCTGCGACCTTTGGCGACTGGAAGCCCTCCAACACGGACTGGTACCATGACACGCCCAAGTTCACTCTGCCCTATCCGACCTGGGCCCCCTCCGGTCCCGGGGTCCCGCCCCACGGCGGGCCCTGGACGACAAGCACCGTCTATTCGACCACGGTTCACACCATCACCAGCTGCCCGCCGTCGGTGCCCAAGTGCCCAGCCGCGAGCACCGTCGTCACTACCGTTATTATCCCGGTTTCAACTACCGTGTGCCCTGTGACCGACCTTCCCAAGCCCACGGTTGCGCCGCCCTCGCTCCCCCCGGCCCCGGTCCCGACCTTCAGCGTTGCGCCTCCCCCGCCCGTCAGCGTTGTGCCCCCCCTCCCCCGCCCGCCAGCGTCAAGCCCCCTCCCCCGCCCCCCGTCGTCACCTCGGTGGTTCCGGCACCGCCCCCGCCCGCGCCGACTGTTCCGTCAGTAACCAACTCGATCGGCACTGTCTTCCCGCCCCCGGTCAAGACGACGTCGGCAATCCAGACGGCGGTTACGGCCGGAGCTGTGCAGAATGCGCAGGTTGCTGGTGGTGCCCTGGCTGCCCTCGCCGTTGCCGCCGCGCTCTTCTAAATCCTTTCTTTTGGCATGGTCCCCGTCAGTTCTTACGGAAAGGTTTGGAGGTACGAGGCAAAATTTGTGTGTTAAAACACAAAACATGATACCGTGGGGAGATGAGGTGCTCATTGGAACGGGCTGTTCACGGCCGGCATTATCACCATTTTCTCAGG